AGGAGCCCCTATATTTGGAAATTTTTTTAGAGAGTTCTCATTCTAAGAAGCTTCCTTATTGGTATCTATGGGAGGATCAGTTTGGAAATCCCTTGGAGTCTTAACTTCCACTGCTAATGGTCATATAATTGCTGCCCTATTACAAGCTCTTCCACCCCCTTCTAAAATTGCCAGTGCTCACTGCTCAGACCATACAGAGGAAAATGACATTATATCTTTAGGAGATGGGAGGGCTGACAGCTGCCCTATATACAGCCCCACATGGACCCCCTTATTCTTTCTCCACTCAGTTTCTAACCCAACCTATATTCCTCACTGACATTAATTATCAGGCAAATGCCCTGAACCTGAAAAAGACACTTGGACACAAGAGAGTGCCAAACAATTATCAAATGGATAATGTATTCGGCCAAATGAGCTTCCTACATACCTTTTTCTTTTAACCTTTCCAGTTGCACTGATCTCCCACCAAATGGGACATAGGTATAAACGGGCGATAATTAGAGAAATAAGACAATTGGTTTTGCCATGACATCCACAAAATTCTGACCAAATCATTTCCGAGGGCACAACTTCCAAACCTTACCAACTCTCTGGAAGAAATCGATGTATCCCAGAAAGACCTCCCAGACCTACCCTGCCCTTTGCAGACTTCAAATGGATTTTATAGATTTGCCCCCAGATTTGGTCTGTTCTCACTAGTTGATCATTGTCTGCATGTTTAGTGGATGGACTTAATGGTATCCAACTGGACATACTGACGTCACAACAGTGATAAAGAAATTAATAATTGAGATTATTCCTTATTTTGGCATTCCTTTAGTGATTGAGTTAGACCAAGGACCTCACTTTACAGTGAGATAAACCACCTGCTTGCAAAAATTCTGGGTACTCATTAAATTACATACCCCATATCATCCTCAATTAGGGCAAGTGGAACTTGAAAATATTTACATAAAAAGGACCTTAAGGAAGATTGGTCAATAAATTGGACTTAAATGGCCAGAAGCATTGTCCTTGGCCTTTATTAATACTCCAAATAGGAGGCATGGATTGACCCCTTTTAATAGTGGTGTTGTATTTGGTGATCCACTACCTACTTACACCTCTGAACTTTTCATTCAAGGATTAAGTGAGCAATTTTATGATATGCCTAACTATATACAAGGATTAACTTGTTTACTTGAAGCATATCATCAACGGGTAAAGGAGGCATGGCCTCCACCAACTGGTGGGCACTTTCAACCAGGGAAGGGTCTACATCAAGGTCTTTAGAAGAAAACACATGCTAGTACCTTGCTAGGAAGGGCTCTGTGAGGTGTTACTGACCACACACGCATTCAGAACATAAGAGAAATCATGATGGAATCATGAAAACTGTACCAAAATAGACCCAGATCAACAGCTGTCAGACAACTGGGAGACCATCCCCTATAGGCGACCTGAAAACATGGATTTTCAGGGTCAAGTCCCAGGTCCCAGAAGCAACAGCACCATGATGCAGACAGCTTTTCCCAAAAGCACTGATAAAGAAACTTCTCTTTTACCTACAGCTCCTTTTTTTAAACTCCTGGACTTACATATTTTTTAATACTAAAAAAGCATATGTACATACTTTTTAATACTTTTTCCTCATTTAAAGATTATTTGTTGAAAGGCTGACTAGAGAGTGCTTATCTATCCTACTTCCTCTCTCTAAGTCTCCACTATCTATAGGGTCCTTTCCAATCTGGGTCTTACTGGGTCTTACTCTTGTTACAGAATCTGGGTCACCCGGCGGAAGAACCAAGCAGCACTCGGAGATCTTGGAAGGGAGGAGGTTTATTTTACACTGGTCGGCTCAGAGGAATCATTCTCCAGAGGTCTGAGCTCAGAGCATCAACAGAGGGAATAATTTATAGCCTGTTACTCCCGCATTCCTCATTAATGCATGTGACAAGCAGGGTGAGAAGAACTCAGAAGGGGGAGCCTTTGATCAGGGACAGGTATTTCCTTATCAGGCCATCTTATAACATCTTATAACAGATTTTTTCCCTATCATTCTTACTAACCCTCTCTTTTTCAATAGGTCAGGCACAGACCAAACCCTTCCTTATGCCAGTTTACCAAATCCTGTCATGTTAACAGAGCAGTCGGACTATTGGCTATGTCAACATCTAGATAATGGAAGAGAAGCTGAACTGGCCTTTGCTCGGGCAGATATGAACCCCTAGTTGCCTGAGCATGGAAGACGGATGGATGACAAGGTATGGTATCCACAGCCAGAAGAATATCATTCTGCCTTCTTCCCTGGTGAGCTACTTGGGCTCCAGAAAATCTCTACAAAAGCTCAAGGACTATCCCCTGTCAGGGTAAAGGCAATAGCTGAAAAATTTCTCCTTTGCATTGAAAACAGACATGCCACTGGACTTTTCCTGGGAGATACACCAAAACTTTATTGCAACCAAATCCTGTGGTTTGATACTAAAAATAGCATCTTTAAATGTAGCAAGGAGATTAAAAATAACTCTAGCACAGACATTTGCCAAATCATCTAGTGTTTTGTGGATCAACCTTGTACAACACGGGATATCTCAGCTACCCCCCTGTTAGACTTACCCACTTCCACAAACTACATTTGAGTCCATCAAAACTCTGGATGTACTTGGTGAGGTGACAAAACTAAGCTTTATCACTACCAGAGCCAAACTACAGGACTCCCACATCAGCTATTTCGCAAACTGTTCTGCTCTCATAGATTGACAGGACATAAAAAGTGGAGCGGTATGGATATTCACGTTATCAAAGGTCATGGAACACTCCACACTTTGAAAGTTACAGATTCAGGGATGCCTGGGTGGCTCGGTTGGTTGAGAGTCTGACTTCGGCTCAGGTCATGATCTCATGGTTCCTGGGGTCGAGCCCTGAGTCAGGCTCTGTGCTGACAGCTAGCTCAGAACCTGGAGGCTGTTTTGGATTCTGTGTCTCCCTCTCTTTCTGACCCTACCCAGCTCACGCTCTCTCTCTCAGAAATAAATAAAAACATTAAAAAAAAAGTTACAGGTTCAAACCTAACTTTGTCCATAAACCACACTAGTCCCTTTACATCATTTGACAATAAGGTCTACAAAGTTTTCCCACCTAAATGGTCAGGATGATGTGGACTGGACACCTGGCTCCTTTTGTCACTAAGTGCTCCATCCTAAATGCCAGGCAAATTACAAACCTGGGCTTCATTGCTCATAAAATTGTGCTATGTAAACATGCCCATTGAGAAATTGTAGAAAACCCACTGTTATATCATAATTCCAAGTTCTTCTCAGCATCGAGGGTCTTATTCCCAAGTTTTAGAGATCATAAATTAGTAAAAGCAATCCTGAAACTGTCTGTGGTGATAGAACAAGAGTTCGATATCACTAAGCAAACCGAAAATACTCCAATCAGAACTTAGCAGTGTAGGGGCACCTGGGTGGCTTAGTCCGACTTTCGCTTAGGTCATGATCTCGAGGTTCGTGGGTTCGAGCCCCGCATCGGGCTTTGTGCTGACTGCCAGCTCAGAGCCTGGAGCCTGTTTCAGTCTGTGACTCCGTCTGTCTCTGACCCTCCCCTGCTCATGCTGTCTCTCTCTCTCTCTCCTAGAAATAAATAAAACATTAAAAAAAAAAAAAAAGAACTTAGCAGTGTAGCCTCTGTGGTACTCCAAAATCGTTGTGCTTGGGACCCACAACTGCCCTTCACAGAGAAGCCTGGGGGACATCGGTAGACAGTGTTGCTTCTCTAGAAACCCAACAGGACAGATGAATTTCACCTGAATCTGTTAAAAGATTCACACTCTTCATTAGATAGATGAAGCGCAGACTTTGTGCTGGGCACATCTATTTCCCAGTTGAGGGAATTTGGTTCAAGGGAATGTGGGGAAGTGTGCTTCCATTTGTTCTTCTCTGTTCATTCATCTTCATTCTAAACTGTGGTTTATCTGCTTTTTGCAGATCTCTTACCTCACTTACTACCTTGCTTTCTCCCTCCCTCCAGTCACCAGCTTGGCTTTAATATGTGAAACTTGCAGGGAAGTGTCAGAGGATGGGACTGTAGGGGCCCAGGGCAGGCCACCCCCACAAATAACACAATGGCATGTTGATTACTTCCAATCAAAGCTACTTCAGAGACAGCCTGTGCAGGAAGGATACTCAGACCCTTCCCCGGCCCCCCTGAAAGAAGGAATAAATACATCTCCCATGTGAACAGTACCCTCCCTGTAGCAGGAGAGAAAGAGACACACTTATCAGCCCAGAAGTGGGAGATTTAGAGCAGAGGAGGCTGTATTACAACCCTTGTTACTTTTTACTAATTTACCACCCAGCCCCAAATCTGTTTAGAATCCCTCACGAATTGAAACTCCCAAAGTTAAGTTTTCTTTGTCCTGTCAATGCCTCATAGATTTGTTATCTATGTGTCTGAAAAGTGTAAAACCTGCCTGCTTTGGTCACTTTCTTGGGTCTCAATTTCATTATTGGGCCTCCGTGCGCACTTGATAAAACTTTGGCTTTTTCTCCTGTGAATCTGTCTTGTGTTGATTTAATTCTTAGTCCCACTGGAAGAACTTGAAAGTAGAGAATTTTCCCATCCCTTCAAAAACAAGCAATGCTGCTTCAGGACCCAGATGACAAGGGGAGACAGAGCTGGGCTCATCTCTCCCAACACAGTTATAAGCAAGAGAAAAGCAAGCTAGAACAAGATGGTGAGCAGATTATTTTATTGTTTTGTTCAGGTAGGGGACTACCAAGGAAATCATCTGTAGAATGGCATAGGAATTGCTATGTGGGGTGCCCAGCGCAAGCTGCAGACATGGGATCAGAGTTCAGAAAATGAATAATCCAGATCTCTGGATTCCAGGTAAGAAGATTCTCAAGACCAGGGTTTGAAGTCTTCACTGAAATGTCTCAGCAACACATGCAGACCCAAGTAGGATGACCTTGCCCCTTTCTGTCTCTATTTCTGCTCTCCTTGGTTCAGAGTCCACTTTAGCAGCAGCCTCCAGATGACTGCCCGCCGCTCCCGCTGCAGCACCCGGAGCCCCCCGAGGGCTGGCTGCAGCAGTCAGAGCTCTGGTGTCTGTGGCGGTGGGACCTGCGTCGCCTGTGGTGGCTCAGACAGCAGCCCCCACCCCCGGAGCTGCAGCAGCCTCCGCTGCCCCCTGAGCTACAGCAGCCCCCAACCCCAGAGCTGGAGCCACAGCAGGAAGAGACTGGGGGGCACTTTGGAGGACATTTTGGGGGGCATTTGGGGGCGGGACACTTGGGGGTACACTTGGGAGGGGGCTGGCACTGCTGCTGGTTCTGCTGGCAGGACATCTCGGCAGGCGGGGTCAGGAGCTGAGAGAGAGTCACACAATCAGACGGAGGACACAGAGCCTCCCTGCCCCACCCCTTCCTGTTCTCAGTGTCATTTCTAGAGCCTTTGTTTTGACAGTCTTGAGATCAGACATAAGAAAATCATCTCTGACATTTTTATCACTCTTACTGGCGTGCCATGTGCCTTCTTTCACACGGTGGCATTTCAAATCCCATTTGTCAACAATATCATCACCAAATAAGTGAAGGAAGTTGATGCTCATTAACATTTCCTTCGTGTCAGAGAAAAAGACATGAAATAAATTGACTCCAGGCCAGCATTCATTTTCCCCTATCACCAAGAATCTCACAAACATCCAGTGTAGGGACCATTTTAGCACTGAAAGCCTCAGGGAGAAAGCAAAAGCATTCTCTCTTAGAAGGATTTCTGTTATGCTTTGGTTTTGCAGAATATAGAAATTCATAATTGCAAATGGCTTTGGAGTTGATTTTCCCAACCAACTCAACTTATAAGTGAAGAAATTGCAAGGTAAAGAGGCAAATCCACTGGCCCAGTGCTATTCACTAGCTTGTCATGGTTCCATTCTCAGACTCCTAGACTCCCAACCGAGTCCTCTAACCCATATAGTCCTCCTCCCAGGGCCTGCTTTCCAGGCATGTCCCAGGGCTTCTCAGCTCCAATGGGCCCCAGCTCCCACTATGGACCTTCATGTCGGTGTCTAAACAGATCCACAGGTGTCTCTGATTCTCTCTTCTGTTAAGTACCAACATCCTCAACACACTGTTTCTGCAATTGGTCCCGGCTGTATTTCCAAAGCTATATTCCCACTGTGTAACCCACTCCAACATAATCTAACCATCAACGTTTTTATTTCCTAACACCAGACAAACACACCCAGCTACTGCTGTCTCCAAAACTCAAGCATATAGCACGCAAATCTTCCCAGCTGCTCTTGGTCTTTCTCATCCATCCCACCTTGGACCCCCTGATTCAGATTTTCTAGGTCTTCATCCTTGTCCTTTGAACCAGAGCCCCTGCTCTGGTCTGAGCTCTCTCTGTGGAAGGCTCTGCTCTTTTTCCCAGGGGACACTTACCGGTGCACAGGCAGCACTGGGTCTGTTGGCGCCTCAGGAGAGGAGTGCATAGAGGGACTATGTCCCCAAGGCCCTTTTATTTAGGCCTTGGGCTCTGCCCCAGCCTGTGAGCCAGGACCTGGGCATGAGGGGACTTCCTTCTGTCACCCACATGGTCCTGTGACAAGCGATGACTGGCAGCTCCTCCCTGACTCCCTCTAGGGACTCAGGGTAGCTCCTCCCAGCCAGGAAAGTACCTGTTTCCAATGGGGACTATGGTAAGTAGAAATGGACATCGCCATTCCTGGAGTCCTCTGTTGCCTTTTTTCTATGGAAGTCTTTCTATTCGTGCTTAAGGACCTGGTCACACAGCCTCTCTTTTCTTTCCACCTTAGATAGTCATTTTATCTCTGCACCTTTGTGTGTTTTCTTAAGTTTTTATTTTAATTTCAGTTAGTTAGCATAGAGTGTTATATATAATTTAACACTTCCATACAACACCTGGTGGTCCTCACAGCAAGTGCACTCCTTGATCCCCATCACCTATTTCACCCATTCCCCCCTCCGCCCATCTTCCCTTTGGGAACCATCAATTTGTTCTCAATAGTTAAGAGTCTGTTTCTTGATTTCTCTCTCTTTCTCTCTTCTTTTTTTTTTCCCCTTTGCTTGTTTGTTTTTTTTCTTAAATTCCACATACGAGTGAAATCATATGGTTCCATCTGGACCTTGGATCTCCATGGTGTGGGTGAAAATCTACAAGTCTAAGTTGTGGGGGGTGGTTGTATAGCATAATAGTTGAGAGAAGAGGCTTTAGGGACCTCACCAAAGTATTCAACTTCTTTGAACCTCACAATACAAATATTTTTAATAGAGAAAATGATAGAAATGTCTTTTTTGCAGAATCTATACATTAATTAAGATGGCAAAGGGGACATAGGCAAGATAGTATGTAGTACTTGGTGACATTGAGGAAATGGATAGATAGACAAAGAGAAATAGATGCAGACATGGAGTTTTAATGGACAGGGACAGTTTTTAATCCACGGACACTTCTAGTAGCTAGATCTTATTCAAACTAAATGCCATTTCCCCCCCTCCATATACCTTAATGAGTTTGTTTTCATGAATGTAGATCTAGAGTGATTATAGGAAAAGACTACTAAAGGTGGGCATATTGCGTATAATTCCCTAAATTAGAGCCTAAAAAGAATTCACAGTTTCCTGGGGGAAAACTAAAGGGAGGAGGTAAAATAAAAATGGGAAGGGTGAAGAGAAAGGAGCACCCCAAGAGGTGGCCAGACATTACTACTTGAAGAGGTGCTGATCTACTTGGCATACCAAAGAAGATGCATTCAGTATTCAAGTTAAAATTGTTTGCATTGTTGCAATATGAACTTCCTGTGTTCCCATGCTCAAAAATAACCAACTGGAAATTCTAAAAATAAAAGACATAGTCTCTGAAAAATTAAATGTGTTCAAAATTAAATATAATATCAAAAAAGTTTATTGGGTGGTCTTTGCAGATCGTAATCTGCAGGACAGATTGATGAACTTAGACTTGAAGAAGTTGTCCACACTTAACTGAAAAGAGGGAAAAAATATAAAACAGTGACCAGAGTAGTCATAATCTGTTGAATTATATAGCAAAATGCCCAACACTCACATATTTAGTTTCTGAAAGAGAGAATACATAAAATGGGGGATATATTTTTAAATAATGATCAATTTTTCAAATTTCATAAAAATTATCAAGATGCAGGCAGGCCGCTTCTGAGGACCAGCTGAGGGGGTCCCTGGCGATATACAGAATAGAAATCAACTGTGAGCCCACAGGAGGTGAAAGCAGAGTTTACTGAAGGCATAGAGGATGCAGGTACAGACGGAGTGTCAGGGAAACTCAGCAAGGAAAGGAGAGAGAGGGTCTTATCTTTGTTCAGGACCCGGTATACAGTTCATCTCAGGCATCTAGGAACCAGTTAGAACAAAGGTGAGGGCCCAGGTGCTATTCTTTGGAACCAGGGGTCTTGGCGTTGAGATGTCTAGCACTAGTGGTCTGGAGTATGCATATGATGGCTTGTCCAGCCATTCTCACCTGGTTCTTCCTTAGATGGTATCTGTTCTAAATAAGTCATTAACTCCTTGTCCCCTACAAGGAGAACATATACGATTTGCATACTGAGGCATGTGTAAAGTTGGGTGGGGGTTCAGGTCCTAACAGACTTTTATGGAGTCTTTCAGTTTCCCTATCTCAATAGGATTAAAAAGTTAGTACATCCCAAGCAGAATAAGCAAAAGAAAGCTAGTAAGTGCTGCTGATGGGGAACCGGAAGGCAGGCTGAGGGCAAAGCACCAGGTAGCACCTCCCTCTCCTCCATGGGATATGTGGGATATTCCTCAGGCACTCCTGGCTGCCAAGAACAAAAGAAAGGAAAGAAAACAAATGGTTTACTTATAGAGATCAGTCATACAGGACATGAGTCTCCATCAGTTTACAAATATCTTAGCAAATTAGGAGAAAAAGGCAATCTTATCAAACAGTCTAATCTCCAGAAATCTCTAGACTCAATTTCCTGGAGCTCTAATATCACCTTCTCCTCCACAGTGATGTGGGGAACAGAGGCAAGAAGGAAATGGCAGGTAAAATTAAATTTCCTTATAACCTGCAGCCCATTGACAAATACTTGAGACAGGCAGTTTCTTTAGGAACTGTCTGTCTGTCTTAGTGTTGCTAAGTGTCACTACTGTCTTAGTGTTAATTGTTTTGATGGAGGGATAAACAACCTTAGCTTGACAATAGCAAGGCCTCAGGTTATCTTAGGAGTCCTCCTTAGCATATGGAAGTCATTCTGGAGGCTCCCTTTTGCCTTTACCTCCCCCAAGTCCTTAGTATATAACCAGCCATTCTTCACAAGCCCAGTGCAGCTCTTTCTGCACATGGGCCATCCCCATGCTTTAATAAAATCACCCCTTTATGGAGTGTCTGGGTGGCTCAGTTGGTTAAGCTTCCAACTTCGGCTCAGGTCATGATCTCACAGTTTGTGGGTTCAAGCCCCACGTCGGGCTCTGTGCTGACAGCTCAGAGCCTGGAGCCTGTTTCAGATTCTGTGTCTGCCTCTCCCCTGCTCACACTCAGTCTCTCTGTCTCACTTTCAAAAATAAAGATTAGAAAATCAAATAAAATCACATCTTTACACCAAAGACATCTTCAAGAGTTTTTTCTTGGCCATCAGTTCTGAGCCCCACCATCACCCCAAAACCTCATCCGTACAATAGGTGGAGAGGGAGGATTCCTATTGGTCTTGGGAAGGAGGAGAATGAGAGAGGAATTCTGAGGAAAGGGTGTCTGGGAAAGATTTATCAAAGAGGTTTTAACAGGTAGTGCCACTTTGATGCCTGGGGGAGGAGGATATTTCAGGGAGAAGACAGTGTGAGAATAGGAATGGGCAGCAGGATGCAACTGGTCTTTTGTGAGTGGTGAGTGATCCAGCCTGTGCGCAATGTAGGGCATGTGTGCTAGAACATGGAGAGAGTGAGGACAGGACAAGGCTGTAAAGAAACGGCAGGTCAGGTGGTGGGGAGACCAGGGTCAGTCACGTGGGGTTTATTGAATGTTCACCAGAATTCACAGAAGGTCTTAGTTTAATTTTATTATTGCAAGTTGTATGGTTGTCATTTTAGCAGCTAAGGACAAGCACACTAGCCCTGGGTCCTAATATGGAAGGGGACTGTGTGAGACCCTGGGACAGAGGCACAGCAGCAGGAAACAAGATGAGAAAATACCACTGCCACAGTCCCCTAAATGTTACTGCAGATCCACAATCCCTTATTCACAATTTCCATCCAAAGGCCTCTGAAAATAGAGTTTCTTGTCCAATTGTTGACAACATCCATTTGGTGGCAAAAAAACTGACCTTAGCTGACAGTGA